AAAGGTAAAAGTTTTAAAGAACCGGACGTTTTAATAAGTTAAAACAACGGTTTTCTAAAGATAAGTAAAGATTTCACGGTAGCACCCCAAAACAGTATCGCAAAGTAAAAAATATTTTAGTCTTCACAGACTTTGCGATTAAATGCGCAACTCTGATTTGTCTAGTAAGGTGGGGTGTTAAAATTGGTATCAGAGCACGTTTCTGCGTCTCTGATAAGTTTTCTCAGTCAGATAAGTTTTCAGTAAGTTTTCAGAAAAGTTTTCAGAAAAAGGTTTCAGTCCGAAAAGTTTTCAGTCAGTGATTTTTCAGAAAACCCGAAACCGTCATGTTCACGCCCCGCCGACAACAGGTAAGTGCTGTTGCAATTCAGTTTCAGTTATTATAAACATATTACTTTGTCTATGCTCAGAGTTGAGGATCAGGAATTTAGTTAAGATGCTCGAATCAGATTCAGACTCTAGAGATTGGACATGACTCTAGAATTCAGGCATTCAGATATGACTCTAGATGTTAGGATTTTCCTGTATGACTCTAGAGTTCTTCAGGTTTCATGTCAGTAATTATCGGCCAATTTTGGCAACTCGTCAAGAGATCTGTGTGCCTAGTAATCAGTCAGTAAGGCTATTATGTAATATTCAGTAATGTTAAATCTTTCTCAACGTTCAGATACCGCCCCGTAGGGATCCCGATCACTCAGTATTTATTCAAGCCACAGTAGTCGCATAGTTCCGCAACTATCATGTTGAGAAATTCTTCGGCCAAAGAAATCCCCGTAGCAGGGGCAAGTGAATTCATAATCCTTTCATAGAAAAGGATTGAGTTTAAAAACTCTAGATTCAATTCTAGATTTACTCAAGTCAAGTTAGTAACTTGTCAGAAGATTTGTAAGCATTGTGCTAAACAAATCGTAAGAATCATGTTTCTCAGAAATTTTATCAAGAACTACCATTTTGTCAATCAATTGACAGATTTCAGGGAGGAATTCCTTGATTTAATTCGAGGAATAGACTCAAAGTTCCTAAGTCAGATCAGTAAGTCATGTTCAAGGCAAGAATTCTCATGTTAAAGGTTGTTAGGTTAAAGTAACGGTTTCCAGTATATAAGAGTCAATAGTCCGGGTTACCATGGAGGCTTGAAATAAGAGCCATTCAGCCGGGTATACCATGGAGGCTTGAAGCTGGGACCGAGCCAGTGAGATTTCAGGAGATAACAACCTTTCAAGTCAGTCATGTCAGATATTTATCAGTCATGCTATTTTAAGTTATGACTTTCAAAAGTCAAGATCAGCTAATTACTTTGTACTTGCGGGACCAATTGATACTGGAGCAGCCCTATATAGTACAGAGTTCAGATTCACGATTTACAGTTTATGTTCATGAAATAAGGTCGACGTATAATAGTTGTTCAGCCGGGTAAAAGGTAGCGGTCTGATATCCAGACCATTAGTTCAGATCTACCTGGAAACTTGAAGTCGTACCTTATTAAGTCAAGTAAGTCAGTAAGTATCACGTTTTCAGTCCTGAAGCAACTATTTAAGTTGCCCCGGGGTAGTGTCAGAGTTTGAACATAGATGATGTAGCCATACGAGAGTTAAGCCATGGTTTTTCAGCCATGAGAGTATTTAGGTCAGTTATGACAAGATCGAGGATAGTCTGTCTGGTAAGACAAGACTTATCCATCATTTTCAATAAGTCAGCGCCCCGATTCTCAAATTCTGAAGAATCTGAGAAATCGTGGAAGATATTAAGTCATGAGGGACTTCTTCTTGAGGTTAAGTATAACCTCGGAGGGAGTAAAAAGTTGCAGGTATTGCAGGTTGATATGCGCCGCAGTGGAGAAGAGCCAATCGACAACAACGAATCGTGCCATGAGGATAACCGATGTTTTCTATTGAAGGATGCCATGTCTACGTCTCAGTACACGGGGAGATTACGGAGAGAGTCTTCACTACCAGCATTCCGATCGGAGATTCGCCAGCAGCCAGCAGAGGACGACCCACATATTTCAGAATTTCATTGTGAAACACTGTCTTATCAGTGGAACATTTTCTTTTAGAAAGTGTTCATTTCCAGTCAGCAGCATTCTACAATTCACTTAACTGTGAATTGAAGTATCTTCAGTTCAGATCAAGTATCCTATTCAGTATTAAATTACTGAATTCTCTAGTCATGCAATCAGTAAGTATAAGCTTTAAGTTAAGCTTGTACATTCCAGTTGTACTATTTCCGAGGAGCTCAAGAGGAGATTAACTTGAGCACTAGCGTTAAGTATTCCCGATCCTTCTCGGAGTTTCACTATCTTCAGCGATGCTTCGAGACAGGGCTTGAGATGTGTCCTTATGCAGGACGGACAGGTCGTTGCGTATACTTCATGTCAGCTTAAGCCTCATGAGTAGAACTATCCTACGCACGACTTAGAGTTAGCTGCAGTCGTTCACGCCCTGAAGATTTAGCGTCATTATCTTTACGACGGACGCTGCGAGATATTCGCAGACCACAAGAGCCTACAGTACATCTTTACGCAGAAGGAGCTTAATACAAGGCAGCGCCGTTGGCTCGAATTGATCAAGGACTATGATTGTTCTATCCAGTACCATCCGGGGAAGGCGAACGTCGTCGCAGATGCCCTAAGCCGAAAGGTGACGGGAGACTTGACGTACGTCATCACACAGCAGAGTCCGTTGATCCATGAGTTCGCCCGGATGCAACTTCAGGCGATTGATGCACTCCTCATAGCTATCTCGGGGAGCATTAGTGCCAGTGTCAGTGCCATGCAGCTTCAGCCGACACTGAGGGATAGAATCCGGCGAGAACAGGCTTCTGACGAGTTTGTGCGTGTCATGGAGGCAAAGGTTCGCGCCGGAGGAGTACAGGATTTTCAGCTAGGCGCCGATGGTGCCTTGGAGTTCAGAGGCAGGATCGTGGTCCCGAAGGCCGAGGCATTGCGGAAGGAGATTCTATCAGAGGCACATACCGCACCTTACTTGGCCCATCCAGGGAGCACGAAGATGTACCACGACCTGAAGGGGTCGTTTTGGTGGAGAGGCATGAAGAAGGACGTCGCAGAGTTCGTTAGGCGATGTCTTACCTGTCAACAAGTCAAGGCCGAGCATCAGAGTCCGATTGGCCTCCTACAGCCACTGCCGATTCCGCGGTGGAAGTGGGAGAAAGTTACTATGGATTTCGTTACGGGATTGCCGAGATCGGCTGAACATCACGACGCTATCTGGGTCGTGGTCGACAGACTGACAAAAGTGGCGTACTTCTTACCCGTTTCGATGAGGATGTCTCTGGACAAGTTGGCTGAAATATACACCCGTGGGATCATTCGACTCCACGGAGTGCCCGTCACGATTGTATCAGATCGAGATCCCAGATTCGTTAGCCGATTCTGGCACAGCTTACACGAGGCGATGGGCACCAAGCTTGAGTTCAGTTCAGCCTATCATCCGGAGACGGACGGTCAGTCAGAGCGGACAATTCAGACACTTGAGGATATGCTTCGCGCCTTGGTTGTTGACGAGGGTGCCAAGTGGGAGTCGCTGTTGCCGTACGCAGAGTTCGCGTATAACAACAGTTATCATTCTTCTACTCAGATGGCTCCTTACGAGGCACTTTATGGTCGCAATTGTCGTTCCCCTCTCTATTGGAACGACGTCGGAGAGCGACGAGTACTCGGTCCTAAGATGATCGAGGAGACAGCTGAGCAGGTCGAGTTGATCCGGCAGAGACTCAAGGCAGCCCAGAGTCAACAGAAATCTTCCGCCGATCATCATCGACGAGATATCCAGTTTGAGGTTGGCGAGCACGCCTTCCTCAGAGTTCGCCCGGTTCGCGGAGTAGTGCGATTCGGCAAGAGAGGGAAGTTGCACCCTCGTTTCATAGATCCGTTCGAGGTTCTCGAGCGAGTCGGCGAGGTCGCGTATCGTCTAGCCCTACCTCCCGAGTTATTAGGCATCCACAATGTATTTCACGCATCTATGTTGCGTAAGTACGTGTGCGACCCAGATCATGTTATCCCTCATACAGATAT